ACTACTACTACTACCACTACTGCTATTAGTACTACCACTACTACTACTACTACTACTACTACTATAGTACTCCTAGTACTACTACTACTACTACTACTACTACTATAGTACTCCTAGTACTACTACTACTACTGCTACTGCTGCTACTACTACTGCTGCTGCTACTACTGCTACTACTACTACTACTACTACTACTACTTCTACTACTTCACTACTGCTGCTGCTGCTGCTACTACTACTACTACTACTACTACTACTACCGCCACTGCCACTGCCACTGCCTGTGCTACTGCTGCTACTACTACTACTACTACTACTTCTACTTCTTCTTCTAGTTCTACTTCTTCTACTACTACTACTACTAGTACTACTACTACATGTTTTAAAAACACACTAGAAAGAAATTTGTGCATAGCTAGGACATATATATATATATAACCCCTTTCGAGTATGTCCGGCTGCGCGACTGTGAGTGTTTTGGCATCATCGTATCTCGAGAGGCACGAAACCGACAGCAGAACGACTGAGCACGTTTATTGTCGCTTTTCAGCCGCCGGCCCGACACTGTTTTCAATCGGCCCCTCGCTTGTGTGCTTGTTCTCCGGGATGGAAGGAAAGCCCCATCAGAGGAATTTCGTACACCTGAGCACTGAGCTACGCAACTCATCCTCATCACGACCTGAGTCGCAGTATGCAAAGCAAGAATATTCATGAATCCTGCAAGTATCGTGAAGGTACGAAAGGTTTCTTCGTTGGCTACAATTATAATTACACCCTCTGTTGCAAGGTTCAACCCATTAGCTGAATGGGTCATTGCCTGCCAGCAAGGCCGATGGCAAAACTAACTCCCTTCAAAGACCAAAGCGCAAAGGCTGAGAGAGCTCAACAGAGATTGAACTGAACAGTCCAAGCTTCGAGGATCTTTAACATAAGGGCCCTGTGAAGCCCGACACCCAAGGCTTCTCGTGCGATTGCAATCCTTCGGAATCAAGAGATTCTTCTGTGGCCACGACAGGCAGGGCTTACCATTCCTGACTTCAGGATTCGGGTTTATGTAGAGTTCAGAGCTCGGGTGCAGGTGGACTGGTAATTCTCCAAGGGGGTTGTAAGACTCTGCAGGCCCTGCAAGATAAGTCTGCAAGTTTCCATCTCAAAACACAATCCAACAACACTGACTGTTGCCGGGCATCTTATCTAATGTAGGAGAAGGAAGAAAAAGATATCAATCTATTAGTTAGTTAGTTACTTATCTATGTTTGTCTATTTACTTGAATATTTTTATGCATGTGTTTGTTTAATTTTTTTAATACATTCTGCTAACACTAGAAGATGCCACGCTGCCTAGCTCGAATCGGTTTGTTTCATCTTCTTGTTTCTCCATCCCTGAAGGCATCTGGGTTTCTGACAGGGATCGACCCGCATTATCAGGGTCTTTTGCAGTGCTCGGAATCCCAGGTAAGCCCTGTCTAAGAGATTGTTCGGGACAGAAGGCGCATGTCGTGATCGCAGGAAACAGGAAAACTTGAACGGCGCAAAGCGTCAAAAAGCTCACCACCGCGACCTACACCCTCATGCCCGCCACCGCCCCCGCCGCCGCCACGACGAGCAGCGACGACGGCTGAGGTACTGGAACTGGTTCGACTTGGTGGTGATCCTGAGCGGTATTGGAGAGGAGGTCCTCTCTGGTGCTACTCGTCTGACACGGCTTTTGTCCACAGCTTCATCTTGGTCCGCAGCTGCGATGACACGCGCAACAGTAGCAAAGTGGCATTACAACGCCAGCTGCGCTCCGCAATGCGAAAAGATATGTGAAGGTAGCTCCCTCCCTGGGATCTAGAAAGGTGGGGTTACCTGACGAAGCGAGGTAAAACCCAACTGAGAAAGGCGAACCACCCCAGTTCTTCAATCGCGCACATCTAGCCAGCATCGCTTCACCCTTGCATCTGCAGACACTCCAGCCTCTTGGATTACATTGTAGATATTGTAGCTAGGCCTCGAGTGCTGTAGCCGTAGCCCAACAACTGTTAACATACCCCCAACTGCAGAGCCTCCAACACCTCAAACCGGTCCCCAGAAGTCTAAAATGATAGGGATAGTCTAAACACACTCGTGCTGGACCCAGGAGTTTCGAAAGTCAATCTCTCACCTAAGCTGAAGGGCCTCTAAAATGTACTACACCCAAGCAACATTTCAAGAAAAAGCACGAGATCCGCTGAAATCGTCGAAACCACACTAGAAGCTGTCGGCGGTGACCGAGGTGATTCTGCGCAACTCCTGCGAAAGCCGCTTTGACAGCGCTTCTGCTGTGACTTTTCGCTCACTCCGCTTCGAACCATTGTGTGAGGGAGGACCTTGGGGATCCGATATCAGGCAACTCTGAGACCCCGCAAGCATTTGAAGTCACGTCTTCCTACAAATTCATTGCAAAATCTCCGCGAATGCCGGATGCGGTGTGCAAAGGCGTCAATGGCTTTGATGTCTTTCCGGGTTGCCTGCCTTGCTTTTGGATACTTGTGTAACCTCAGTGGAATACTGCTACTGCTACTGCTGTGGTTGAGGATAAACATTCCAACCTGCTTCGATTCGGCTGATTTGCGTTCTCGGCTGATTCCGAAGCTTGAGTGCCACAAGGTCCGCGTGCATCTCGGCTGCAGAAGCCAATCTTTTGGCGTTTGGCTGGCGGCGGGATTCCAGCAGCTTCATCCCTAGATCAAGCCATGCCCTGCTACTTCAACTTTTATAGTTCACATAGCGTGGCTTAGAAGTTGATGTTTTTTTTTGGGGGGGGGGGGGNNCGGCAGGGGATCGAAGGCTGGACACTTGTCGGCTTGCTGTGGCCAACCATTGGAACTTTCGGGCATGAGGCGTCGGGTTTACATGCAGCGAATTCGCGTCAAGCCGGACGGGCTGTTTTGCTTTCATGCGCTGGGGGATGTTTCATATTCAAAGTAGACAATTGACTGGACTTCTTGGAGAAACCGTCCAGGGCGGGACAAGGCAAGTGCCTCCAAGTCATGAATTGCTCTGTGCCAGCTGCGCAGCTGGCAGAATAGCTCTTACTTGTAGCTCAGGAAAAGCTTGACAGTTTCGGAGAAGTAAACCCCCAATCTTCAAACTCTGAATTCAGAAGGCCTGGTTCAGGCAAATCCTGACGTTTGCAAACCACTTCTCGCGGCCGCGACCACTGCAAAGGAGACGGGCGATGTCATGACAGCCTTCACAGTTCTACGAGTGATGCCCCTCGTCATGACACAGTCATTATTCTTCATGCTGGCCAGTGAAAGTAGTCCTCCAATGGTTATCGTGTCAGGGAGGTGAGGTTCTGTTCATCGTCGTGTACGATTGTTCGCTGCCGCCCGAAACTGAGCAGGGAATTATAGACAGAATGGATCATCCTTGCACCTGTATGGATGGCTTCAAGCCTCTCGATGGGAACCCAGCATCTGTTTCCCAAAATTCGATATTCCCAGAAACCCCGAGTGCCTAAACTTTACCCGCCATCACGTTTCCTCGTGGATTGTCGTAGCGTCCGAAGCTTACGGACAGTGCTGGAAGGGCGCAATGTCACACCATCACAACACACCCGGTGACTGAATGCGCCGAGCTTTTCTTACAACGCCCGTCTGACCCAAGAATCCGAGCCCGCTCACCCTGCACCCTAAAGCTCCTAAGCCCCTATGTTATCACCCCAACAAGCCTACCTTCCTGCAGAGGTGTGTAAGAAAGTCCTAGCAACGAGCACTGAGAATGTAGGTTTGGGTTCAGGTTTGCCCAAAACCATCGGCGCCAAAAGCTTCAGTAGTGTTTTTTGAACTTCGGTCTTCAGAGGGTGTCTAAGCCTTGTGATAGGACCCCCAAGAGGGACCCGAGTTTAAAGAGCCCTCGCATGTGGTACGTGATGTGTGTGTGTGATGTAGTTTGTCTGATGCGTGCACACACAGGGGCAGAATCTTGTGCGCGAATAAGACCGCAGAACCTTGCCTATCGAGGCGTCTAGATCATGAGATGGCAGTCTGGATCGTCTTTCGTCAGTCCACGCAGGTCAGTAATCGTTCTTGCTTTTGTACTTCTCTTGGAGCTTCCATGCAATGCCTTGAGCTCGTGGCTGTGCAGGCGCCTCCTTCGGATCACACGGCTCATCCGAGCTGTGCGCTTCATGCCCATTTTCCGTGCCTGGGCTTCGTGGGAAGGGTGCAACCCTACTACCCGAAGCTAGCCTAAATCCTACTAGGTCCGTAACTCGTTCGGGAAACTCCCAAACTCAATTCTATCCAAACCCTACAATTGCAAGGAGGGCTCAAACCGAAAAGAGCACGAGCCCAAACCCTCATTTTAGTCAAGGGTCATTGTTGGGGGGTTCAGGGTTTCGGATCTGCGATTCACGATACCACGCCCAGGACCAAGACCACGACATGCGGCTTTAGGGTGCCGGGCTACAGCATCGGACAGCAAGGCATCAAATCCTGCATCCCTGATTTTGCTGACGTGAAACCTGCTCCAACACTACCCCTTGATACCCCGAAGACCGGAATCAGATCCCTGAAGACTTAAAGACGAAGTTTTAGGCCGCCAAAACCCCAAAACACCCCCAACACTAAACATCATTGAGACATGCAAGAGCTTTACGGAAAGCTACTGAACCTTTAATCCGGCCTTCGGATGCCGGAACACAAAACCTCGAATTGGGCTTCAGAGCCCCGCAAGTAAAGTTAGTTCCGAAGCTGTTGGATTTTCCTGTGTCGGGTTTCGAAGTCATTGAGTTTGAGCAAAGCTCGGGGGGGAGGGGGGGAGGGAAGGGGGGCACTGATCGGATCACATCAAGGTGAGAGCACAAGCGCACCCATAATACTCATGCTGATGCTACTGTGGAAGGTGGGAGGAGCCGGGTGGTGCCAAAGACGAGGGTGTGATGATGCGGAGATTTGCAGCCTCGGTGCCCGAGGCGAACTTCGTGTCATGGTGCGATCCATTCTGACGCTTGCCACGCAAGTGGCTGGGTTTCAGGGCGATGCACACATCTCAGGCATTCTCAGGCTTCCTGTCTTGGATCTTTTTTGCTGGAGGTTTTGCGCAGAATCTGCTGCCACAGCTTGGTGAAGCTCGCTGAGTTAAAGGGGCTCGGGGTTCGGCTCTGAAAGGGCCATTGTGACTTGTCATGGGTTCGCACCCGAAGATCTCACGGCTAACCAAGCAAAACTGAGGAACTGCCTGATGCCTCTGATTTGGTGCATTGTGCAGCTTTGCCGCATCTGGTTCAGTCTCGATAGTCTGACGGCTACGGTGAAGCTCTGTTGACTCAAATTGGCTTGGTGTGCCCAGAGGTGTCACGATTCAAGACGTATGGTTTGGCTTGTCTACGCATGGTTCAAAAGAGCAGCCAAGGGTCCAGGATTCGCAGGTGAGCGGCATCATCATTTGAGCCAGCATAGGGTCAAGGACAAGACCAGCTCGCCGCATGCCTATCCCTGTGCTAGAATGTCTCTTAGTGTCACCCAAGTTGAATCAAAGGGAGTCTTGTCTGTTTGAGCTTTGATCAGACGAGAACGTGGAAGAACTCCGACCAAGCCGATGTCCAGAAAATGTTGGGAATGGTCCACTTAAGAGGTAGTTGTCCTGCTGTGAGAGGTTGCTTGGCTTCTTCCAGTGGTGCTTTGCGGTGTATTTCATCACGGTCAGCTCCGACCATGTGCAGGCAAAACCATTGCCTTGTGAGAGACAGGGCTGTCTAGCCTCTGCCATTAAAATCCGGCTTGAGTCGCCCTCTCCCGATTTTGCTGACACCCCCAGATCTTGGTAGCACTCGCGAGGTGGCTTTCAAAGTATGCTTTCACACTTTGGCCCTAAAACCTAAACCCTTAAGTCCTAAACTTTAAACCTAAGCCCGATTGCTTCTTGTGATTCCTGTGCCTTACTGGAAGCCGTCTCTCACGGGAGGCCATGCACTACTTCCCAGAGAGATACAGCCACCTCGACCAGACTCGGAGCCTCTGTGGGCATGGATGTCGGGGCCTGTAGATGACTTGCATTGGAAGTCTTGTGTTGGCTGTGGAGCAGTTACAGTCTATGGAGATTGTCAGGGAGTAACTTTGCCAACTCTTTCAAAGCATCGTGGAGGGTGTTAGGTTGGCTTCGGTTTCAGGCGTCTCGTCTCAACATGACAGCCCGGCGAATGTTAAGTTCCTTCTTATGCTCTGCCAAGGTCCCTGGGTCTTTGGCGACGCACTGCCTGTAACCTTCGAAACGAGCGTTTCCAGTCCGAGGTTTCCTAGGCCATAGGACGCAGACGCTGACTGCCAAAGCCTAGCAGCCGAAATCCCCACAGCCCAGAGCTCCCAAGCACGTGTACCTCGTAAGGGTGGGGTGGAGTAGGGCTGGGTTTAGTGAGGGATTAGTATAGTAGGAGGGACTCGAACCCGCACCACCAAAGCGCAGACAAGAAGTGTCCGTCCTGAAAGGTAAATCTCACAATGCAGGCCTCGGAAAAATAGATAATGGTATCCCCTTATAGTCTCCCAGCTAATTATCGTATAGCATGCCCCAAAGTCAAAACCTTTTTCCATCTCCAAACCATAGAGCCCGATGATACAAAAGGCTAGACCTGCCACAGTCCTGAAGATTGAGGGGGCTTTCAGAGCGAAGGCCTCGGCTTGATGTGGGGTTTTAGGCCTTCGGGTTTGAAGGCCGTTGGCAGAAGGTCTGGGGCTCAGGGTCTAACGTTCCAGGGCGTGTAGAGAAGGTTTAAGGAACAAGGATTTCTAGCGTCCGACGTTTCTCCTTCCCAGCTTTCTGAGGATCAAAGACCAGATCAAGGCTATGCCGCTTGGATGCCACTTTGAACCCCTTTCTTGGTTTGACGAGTTAAGCGTGCGTCGTTTGTCCAATCTTCCGAGCTTCGGGGAAGCCTGGAGCCTGCAGGTCGCATGCCCGTAGGCCCTTTCCCTGAGATCCCGAACACTTCAAAATCTTCATCCTGATCCTAGGTTTGGTTCTCTCTGGAGGACCAACTACGCAACTTCTCTCCCAATCAGGGTGTTTTCAAGAAGTCTGTTCAGGGCTTGTGGTCTTTATGCGAAGTCTGGCATGTCGATTGGGGTTCCGGGGCCGGGTCACACTTCAGGAAGATTCGTTTAGCCCGTGCATTACAACCCCCCTGAACCCCCGGTTTCGGGGAGCTCCAGCCGCCCGGGCGCAAAAGCAAAGAGGTCTTTAGCTTAGATGGATCTTGGGGATGTGGGGTTTCCGAGAGGCGGGACTGCAAGAATGCAGGACACAGCATCTTATTGACTGTCTTTTGAAAGGAGGTTGTTTTGTTCTCCCAGCTGAGTTGGATGTAAACAGAGCCAAAGATTGGTGGGCCCATGCCCGAACTCTTCCCAAAGACACACCACCAGCCCTCACGTCGACCGTGACAGCCTGGGCAGGCAAGTCCGACAGTGAGAGCTCCAACCCTGACTAGCTGGTTTAGAACACGGAATCATGCCCGACCCGCCTTGTAACGTCTTACGAAGCCTGAAGTCAGCCCCCCAAACCCCTCAAACCGAACTCGGCCCCGAAGAACAAAGTCCTGAAGGTTCTTTTCATGTCTGTCAGCGGGGGCTTGGATTGGGGCTACGCAAGCGACATCTTTATCGAGCTGGAGAGCTATTACGTGGCCCGGCTGGCTGAACCGACTCAACCCAAGCCCTGAAATCTCAGGCATAAAACCTGCAACTCGTATCTTGTCGTCACCCTGGAGGCAAAGAAGCCTACAAGCCCATAGACCCTCGGAAACCTACAAACCCTAGAGGCCTCCTTAAACTTCAGAAATTCGTCAGCCTCATGAGCCCTATGCAAAAAGAAAAGCCTTAATCCCGCGTTTGTTCGCCTTGCTTGGGTCGAAGACTTAGTCCTAAACCTTTGGGGGGCTCTTCGGCCTTGAGCCTTTCGGGGCCCTTAGCTTTAGGGTTGGGTCGGTTGGGTTTCGGGGAATTAGATTTTCATGTTTGTGTTGGGGATTAGGTGCAAAGCTGTTGGGGAAAGAGCTTTTGGGGATTACATTGTTTCAGGGGTGTCAGGCCTCTTAAGTTTGGGGCTGACGGGACTCGTAGGCTAAATTGAAGAGGAGACTTCCAAGCTTTGGGACCTGAGGCAGCCCAAATTACTATGCTACTCGCAGTAGGGATGTGGGGCTTTGGGCTTTGGATCTGGGCGGATGCCGTGTGCCGTGCGTTCTGGCCTGGAGCCTTAAGCAAATTAAGCAGACCAAGGGCATGTGCGGAGGAGGAGGGGATCAGGTTCCACAGCCCGGAAGCTCCAGGCCCAAGCCGTTCCACGGAGAAGGGCGAGAGGCACAATCCCCAAAATGGCTGGGGCCCAGGGCCTGAAAAAGAACCTGCGCACTTCTGCGCAGCTCCGAGCAGGAAGCGGACCAGAGGCCGCCACAGGCTCGTCGCCAGAACCTGCGCTTTCGAATGCAAAAGCAGCAAGCAGTGCCAAGCAGCTTCCGATGGCACAGCCGTGCGGCTGCCTCAGGGTCCCACGAGTGCCAGGGACGCAGGCGGGCGCACCGTAGTTTACTTGGCAGAGAGCGCCCACGACTGCAGCATGTGCAGGATGAATGCTTGTATCGGGATAATCGGTGATACTATTCATATTACTTCGGCTCCATATCATGACTATTGTACGTATGCTATACCCCCATCAAGGCTTCCATATTTACCCTACACTAGCCAAAACCATGGGTAGATCGGAGCGAGGGCCGTGCGCCGACTCAGCCTTTCCTAAATGCCAGAACCAGATTGTAACTGTGACTTCATATAAACTTCAAACACAAGCCTTGGATACAAACCCGATCTGGAACCCTTCGCCTTAACCGGCACAGCCACCCGAGGCAGCTGCGGGGTATCTTTTCTTCATTGCGCTGGTCGCCCTGGCCGTTTTAAACGTCGTGACCGCTGCACTCCGGCCCGCGAAGATTCACGGATCCGGGGCTACACCGCACTTGCCTTGTTGGTTGACAAGTTCAGGTTTCAGCCTGACTTACTGGCATCATTGCTGAGGGAAAACCTCCAGCTGCGTGGGATCTACACACCAGATGGCATGCTTTGGGGTTCCCGTGCACACAAAAGCCCAGAATAACCGAGCAGTCACTTGCCTGCCTTGTCTGCACTCTTCATATTTTGAGGTGTTCGTGGAATATGCCATGAAGATGGCAGCAGATGACCGCGATCTTGCCTGGATCTTGATTGCCCGTGTTGCAAAGCTGGGTTCAGTTGGGTTGACTTTTCAGCAGAGTCGTGGGAGCTGTCCGACGCCTTGGGATACGGGGTCGTCGCAGAGAGAGAGAGAGAGAGAGAGAGGCTGTACTTGAGCTACTTGCCTGAGGATGAGCGCAGTAACTTTCCCGAGGTCATCCAAGACACCCTGGCCAAGCGCAACAAGTACATGCAGGAGTCGGGAAGCTACTCCAGAGAATTGCTGCTACCAACCCATGGCGTATAGGTTTTCTTGAGCGTCTTTGTTGCCACGCTCTCTGCTGAGCCCCTCCCTAGAGCGTATAAAGAGTCTCAGAACCCTTGCATCCTGAAGCTCTGCAACCGCTAAATTCCTTTGCAGTCCGAAGCCAAGTCCTAGGCGTATGAAGCCTACAACCTGCATCATGAGTCAACCATGTCAACCCAGTCAAGACTTACTGCTATGAACTCCCCGTCTAAACTTCATACCCTGCTGCTTACAACGCACCCTTATTTCACCCAAACCAAACCGGCTGAAACGAGACTTATGATGCAACCCTTCCAAAGCCCTATAGACCAGTTACAAGTCAACGCATGTCATAGATGCCTGCTACAGCCACAAATCCTGAGCCCCCAAGGCTTGACATGGCTTGACAACACAATAACCCTAGGGCAGCCTGGAGGATGCCATGTTGGTCTTCAAGGAAGCCGATGCCGATGGTTCCGGCTCCATCACTTACAAGGCTGCGCTCCAGTCAGAGCTGTGCTATGGAAGTTCACGTACACGGGCTTACGCTTTCCGATTGCGGAGCTATGGGTTGAGGGGTGATCATATGGGGCGTTTGCGGTTTGGAGTTCAAGGTCTATGTCTAGTCTTGGGCCCCGAGAGCAGGAATATCGGAATATCCCTTTGGCATTGAAGTCCAAAGATCAACCCATTCAGATAGCATCACGTAGAACACAAAGCCCTGCTATCATTCCTTCAGCCTCAAAACCCATCTCGAAACTACAGGAGCTACCGAAAGGCGTGCAGGAGCTGGATTGAAGCATCTAGTCACGGGTGGCAAACAACCCCTTATAGCTCCGATACAAACAGTGCAGTATACCGCAAATTCTACTTTAATCATTAAAACCCCCATTTACGAAACCCGTCCCCGATAAATGGCTACCGACGGGCCTGGGCTATGCAATATTGAGATCCGGCTGTGAGAGTTTTTAGGGTTCAGAGTTATTTTTGGTTTGGTTTTGGTGTGGCTGAGGGGCTAAGTAAACCCCCGGCACGTTGCAAACATGAGGAGTTCCTTGACCACGTGGAGGATGAGCGAGTCCAGGCATTCCTGAACAGTGTCCAGGTGCCAAGTTGATGTTGTAAACCAGCGTTTAAGGTTTGCGGTTCGGAATCAGGTTCTGGAAAGGCTTGGCTTTAGCGCATGGTTCAAGGTTTGGCTTCCTGCAAGCTCAGAGCTCGTTCCCACCAAGCCAATCACACCAAAAGATGGACCATTCCACGATGTGAAGTTCTGAATGCATCAGACAAAAGCGCAGTCATCCGGAGCAGGGTGGGTAATCAAGAGGGTCCCACAAAGGTACGAAGAAACATGCGCATTCTCGCGCAAGTGATACCATAATCGGAACATTTCAGAACACTAACAACAGCAGTCACAGTCAGCAAGTGGGAACGAAACACACACGAAATAGTGCTGAATCTCTAGATGAGCCCGACTTAACTTTAGGCCTCCCGTTGATGATTCAACAGGCATGGCCGAATTCCTCAAGCTTCGGCGCCCTAAGCTTTCGACTTCTGAAGGCCAAGAGTCATACTCCAGCGAGCTTTCGTCCCTACACCGCAATCTTTGCTTCAGCTCTTCCGCCCACCCTAGTCCGACCGAAGCCCTGCATCAGCCAAGGTATGGAGCTCGATGGGATCGAGGCGACAGCAGCGATTACTAAAACTGCAATCAGAGTAATGTACGAATATGTATTCTTATTCTGATCACGATAGTCATAGTCACAATACTAATAAGAATAGCAGTAAAACAATATTGAAAATGACAATGATACCGGCTGCAGTTACAACGTGGGCAGTTCCCCTGGCACAATCTCTGACATTCAAAAGGAACAATCAATGGGTGTGTGGGGAGGGGAGGGGGGCCGGGGGGTTGGGGCCAGTTTAAGATACCTAGACATCGAGTTTCGCGGAGCGAGACAGAGCGGATCCGCAGTGGTCCACGAAGACTTCACCCCCGGACTGTGGCGTCAGCAGTACGGCGGATAGTATTCAGTCTTGAGAGTGCAATAATCAAACGCTTTGAAGAGCAGCAGCCATAGAAGTCACGGCGTAACGTAGATTCTCCAGATTCCACATATGTTGGCAAGCCTGGGATCACGTGACCTGCTTGCTGCGACTATGTTGATTACGTAGCACACGATAGTGAAGGTGACACTACAAATATCGTTTGAAGACTACGAAGAGGAAAGAGATGATCACGATGCTGGTGGCGATAATGATGCTGCTGCTGTTTATGCTTAATTTATGCTGGTGACGATGACACCGATGATACATGCTGTGGGCTTGATGTTGTACATGAAGGTGTTTGACCGTGAGACTGACTCCACGGGTTGGCTGCAGCAGGCAATTCGCTTGTTCAAGCTCCTCGACCTCGACGGCAGTGGCTCAGTCGAACCCGACGAGCCTCTCGGCACAGCGATTTAGGCAAACTTTTGGATCCATGCAGGGTTATATAGGGGTCCAGGACAAGATCTGCAATTGTCTGCTTTCGTCCTGCAGGTTAAGCATCTCCAGAAAGTCCATCGTAGAACGCCTTGCCGGTTACTTTGTTTGTTTGTACTATTGAGCTCCTGGCTATGTTACGTATTGGCTAGACGAGAAACGAACTCCAGTTGAGAATGATAGGATTCCTCTAGAAGTCCCCGAGTTATGAGCCTGTGATCCTCGCCTTTCCGGTGGGTTTGGTCGACATCGAAGCCAAAACTCCCCAAGACCTTAGTTCCCGCAGTGACTCAATGAGCTCTGGGCAGGTTCGTGCACGGCTGCATGTGCCTGAAGGGCATGGCAAAGACCATGGACCTCGCGATCTTGCTCCGCGAGCAGCGCAAGGCACCAGCACGACACTAGTTTAGGATTGATGGTGGCCTTTGTGAAAGTATGGCCGGAAGAAGGAACTGCAGAGACATGGCTGCGAGGCAGGATGCTCCTCACGGCATGTTCGTCCGAAAGCATCTACATAAACTCGGCGAGGTCCTTCTCGGCTTCCGGTGCTTCAGCCACACATTGCAAGAACCCGTCCCCGAAACCGTCCTCGCCAAAATCCAGAGCCCAAAGTGAGATGCATCTTTGACGTACATGCTTCACGCTGCAGCCGCCGCATTGATGAAGACAACCAGGAAGCCTTCAGTTTTTGCCAGTGCGGCCTGGAGGGATCTCGTGTGGGTGTGGCGTGCGCAACATCGAAGACCAGTTGGCTCGCTCTCGGCGGCCATGGAGCTGGCGATACTGCGCGAAACCGTTGTACCAGGTCTGTAAACAGCATCGTCAGTCCACTCTATGCGATGTGTTTGGCTACGCCAGTTTTGCGCGCAGTTGCGCGGTCGTTCTTCGGACTGAGCTTGTGGTTAGGAGGATACAGCTCCCCCCATCAGACCTCCCTGCGAGGCCATGCAGACATGGGGCAGCTTTATGAGCCGCTTTGCTGCATAGTACAGGCGCGTGAATGTGTATGTATGCATGCATGTATTTAGGCATGTCTATGGCTCATGTATATGTATGGTATAGGTATCGGTAGATGTATCTGTGCATGTGTATGTACATGTACATGTTTGTTATGCACGTACATGTGTGTATGTGTGCGGTTGCGTCTGCGTGCGTGTGTGTGTGTGTGTCTTCTGTCTGTCTGTCTGTCTGTCTGTCTGTTTGTCTGTCTGCCTGTCCGCCTGCCTTTCTTTCTGTCTGTCTGTGTGCATGCATGCCTGTGCATGTGAGTGTGTGCGGTTACTTGCATATTGCTATCTATCAAGCTTACTTACTGTGTAGATGGTGAGGCAAAGCGATATGCGTAGTCTCCGTGTCCTTTCATCCATATCCTCTCCGACTCGACACCTTGAGCTTTCACTCTCTAGGCAACACCAAGGGTCGAGGGTTAGAAACAACAGAAGTTCGGAAAGGACAGCGTCTGGGGTGTCGGCATTTGGCATGAACAGATCAGATTCAGGAAAGCCACGGCGTGAAATCTCAACACGCATGTGGTCAGGAGGAAGCATCTCTGCCAAAGCCAAGGCTATGTGGATATTTGTCTCACTCAGTTGCTGAAAGAAGACAATCGCCGCTTTGCTTAAGCGTGGAGCCCCGCGACCCGAAAGGATGTCTCGTTTCAGCGGAGTGCACCTTCAGATGTTGCTGCCGGTCCTCTCCTTACCCCCAAGTTGAGGAAAGGTATACACTAAGGTACTAGGGCGTTCAAAAATTAGGTGCAAGGACCGGCCAAACGAGTAGTGTTTACGAAGGCCGGCGGTCCGACATGTAGGGTTCTGAAGACCCTGGCGAAGGGTACTCTACTGCATAGTACCTGCCTGTAGATATGTGTATATATATATACATACACATACATACATACATACATACATACATGCATGCATGCATACATACATGCATACATACAGACATACATACATACATTACATGTACAGAGGTATGTATAAATACACACACGCACACGCTGTGGAGAACGAGAGGGAGCGACAGAGACGGAAGCACGCAGGTAGGCGCGTACAGGCAGAGAAACATACGAGTTCTGGACATTCTCAGGAATGCGTTTGAGTGAGGGTAGAAAGTCATATACCGAAGCCCCCCAACCTTCAATATGCGGACGACCCACAACCCGAAATATCCTAGACACCAAACTGTACGTACCAGCCTCAGTATGTACAACTACTATTCCTGGCTTGTGCTGTTAAAAATTCAAAGACTCAGTATAATCCACCCTAATCCCTATTCCAATCATTTATCGTCGAGATCTTGGAACTTCAATCAGCGCAGTGCTGCGGCCTCTTCATTACAAAGCTGTTGGTGATATTGGGACCCAGACGTCTGACTCTAGACTGCGATTCCGACAAGGCATCCGAAAATCGGGCAAACAGAAAGCAGAGTCCCAAAAGACGTAGGTTCAGGGTTTAAGGCTGCGCGAAACGGACCCTACAACCCTGAAGCCCCAAACAAATAGCCATCCGCTACAGGCGAACTGCCAGTGATGTCCGCTGAGTCGTCAAAATCTCGATGCTCTCTATTTTCCGGGGTCTCGGGCTGACTGAGATTCAGAGCGTTCGGGCCTGCATCAATTGAAAAAAAGGGTCGTGTTGCAATGTGCGAGAGAGAGAGAGAGAGAGAGAGAGAGAGAGATAGAGACAGTGTGTGTGTGTGTGCAAGCGTCCTTCAGTCCTTGTGGTTGCTCATGTTAGGTGTTACATCTCTGCACCGATTCATGCTGGCATCAGGGTGTTTAGACATATTACACGGCAAGTGTTGTTCCAGTTGTCAAACTGCGGCACTCTTCGTTTGGTCGCATCGCGTTGTGTAGAGTAGCCGACGCCCTAGACCAAATCCAAGCACTGGAGCCTCACATCCGCACGGTTGATCCCCTTTAAAGTTGTATGCCCTTGACAGCGGTCTTTGCTAGAGTGAGTCCCGATCGAAATGGGCCTCAAATGAGGGGTTCAGTTTTGTACTACACACACGGTGCAGCCAGGGTTGCGCAAAAGTGGATCTTATGAGGGCAGGAAAGACGGAGCAGGCTTTCATGACGGTCTCTTTCGATCGTCAGGCCGAGATCCTTGAGATCAAGTGCTATAGACCAGGATGCACCGGGTTTCCGGTATCCAGGGAGCCCTGGGAGGATTAAGACTGATAAAGTCTAGAGCCTGGAAAAGCTTGGTTTGGAGCTCTGGTAATGAAAAGCTGACTCCTTGGCCTAAAACTTTACTAGGGAGCCCCAATTCATCATATGAGGCCCAAAAGAAAAAGCTATTATTCCTTGTACTGCGGTTGCCATGGGTTACTAGAATGGGTACTTTAAGGTTACTTTCAGGTCCTGCTTCTGTCCGAGCCGACCACTGCATCTAAACAGGAAATTTAGGCCGACGAACAGCCTGGTGTCGGGGGTGTGGGCTCTAAGCAACGGACATAGATCCAGGTGTTAACGAGCGATAGACATGCTGTGCAGTCACATGTGCGACTAAGGGTTTTGAAGCTGAGGATGGTTTGAATCCAGGATTCCCGACATGTTTCACCGACGTTTGCCGCAGGCAGGTCGAGCGAACTTCTTCCAACGCAATCGCAAGTAAATCAAAGCTGAGTTGGAGGAATGACCGTTTTATGGCATTTCTTGCTTCGTTTGAGACTCATCTTGGAATAGCCGCAGTGAGCAGCTGTAGGATTCAGTCTTGTTGCTGAGCAACGGATTCTGCCAAAGTGTACGCTTCAAGCTACCGTGTGTTTGCCACTGTGGCTGCTCTTCCGAACACTAAGGGGACCGCTAGACTTGGACGTTGCAAGAGGGCATTCTTTGACGCTAGCGTCTGCCAAGGAAGGCGGACCAACGGTATGTTACTAACAGTTACTAGCACATGCGGCGCCGAAGCAGCTTCGTGCAAAAGGCGCTCTGGACTGCCGTCATCGCGAGAAGCATGAGCCAGCAAGACCATTCACACAAGTATGCAACTAAGCCGGTAGGGAATTATTGTCGCTGTGCCGGCACGACTCTCAGCACTCGTACCGTCTCTACCCTTGTGGCTGGCTGCTCACTATCGTTGCAAGTATGTCTGTTTTTCAGGACTGCTCTTCACTGCTTGCTGAGGGACTCTTTCGACTAATGATCCTTTAATCCTTTATGATATCTCACATTTCCAAAAGAGATTGGGAAAACGATACATTGCAGGCTTTTGCAATCGGATCTTCTAGACAAGATTCCCTCCTCCCTGAGCCTTCAAGAGTTGAGCTTTGAACCTGAGCTGGAAATTCCGATGCAATGAAGATCTGCTTCCAAGGGGAGCAGAGTTGTTCTGCAGTCCAGGGCCTGTTGGGATTTCGGGCTTCAGAAGATTTATTTCTTGACTGCTCAACATGTGGGTTGTAACGTGTCAAGATCACAGCTATGAGCAAGATAAGATGCAAGTTCGTGGTGCCCATGAGAGCCAGTCTTGTAGTCGACAAGACTCGCAGTCACAAGACCGCAGCAGCAGTAATCATGCCATTTGCCGTGTGGCATAACATCCTGAAAAAGGGCCACCTGAACTTGCCCTTAGGTTTGGTTGTTGAGGAAAGGGTCACCGCGGCTCAGATCTGAGATCCGACGGAGAGAAGGATCGTAATTCTCGGAGAAAGGCTGAAGAATTCCTGCCCTGCACCCGAATCCCGTCGCCCTGCACCTCCGCCAGATTGTTGCAGCTGCGCAGTCTTGGACCTCAGATGAATCAACAGAAGATTCCTGAAAGTCATTGGACGTCGGCGAAAGCAGTAAGCCTATTGGTTTCTCTAACTAACTCTTGCCTTAAGATCCTTCCGACAAGCGGGCGTTTCCTGACTTGGTGCAAAACGTTGATTCCGGGCAGCGAGGGTCAGTTGTAATGGGCAGGGTTTCACTTGGACCGCTGCAGGGAGTGCTTCAGGGTGCAGGTTGGCTCTGGGTACGGACAGGCCGATGTTTTGGATGCCGGGGGCTCCTAACAACTGAACCGAAGACTGAAGAGGAGCTTCTTAGCAATGCAGCCAGTGTAGTGGCAACTTCACACGTCCTGCTTGTGGTTTGTAACGATGCCCACCACCATGGACCACTGCCAAGTTGTTTTCCTTGTTCGCCCTGGCCTTGAGGCTGCAGCTGGGCAAGCGCCGGGAGTCCCTGCGCACTGCGAAAGCGGCCAAGGAGGCACCAGGGACCGTAAGAACCGCCCCGCGTACCATGGTCACGAATAGCAGCGGCGGGTCAAAGGGGCACTGCTGACGCAGTAGTGAGACGAGCCAACTCAGGAGACATTAGTCTGAAGCCGACGGTAAGGATGCTGATGATAACCAGAGTGTCCTTGATCATGACGAGGATGAGTGTCATGAGAACTGCAGAATGACGGACCAGGCCGCGATCCGAAATAGAAACTGAACCGAATGAACAGTATTCCGGATGCCTGTTGAGGTATTGACTCTGTTCATGATAGTTGTGCTGATCGCGATAGTGACGGCTGCAAGTCGCCTGCCTACTAGGCTACGTGGCATTTCTTTCCTAAACAGGCTGCCTTGAACCTGCAGGTAAACGGCTTCAGATATCATCACGGATGCCGAACGACACGGGACATTCGGACAAACTTAGGTTGTAAACCCTGTAGTTGTGGGACTCGGACCTTCATCACATGCGGCGCCCATCTTTCTTGCGAAGTGAACCCTAGGAATGAGTACAGAGGCGGCCTGGGCCATCTTTACACGCATGCACAAACCGATCCCACCACTCCCTGGAATCCCCTTTTAGAAGCACCGTAGTCTGCAAAGGGCGCCGCCTCAGGTTGCACGGCATGTATGTATGTGTGTATGTATACATGTATGTATGTATGTATGTATGTATCTATGTATCTATATGTATCTATGTATGTATGTGTGTATATATATATATGTATATGTATATGTGTATATATATATATATATATATGGGGCTGTATGCCGGGACCGGTCGGTGTGACAGACTCCCTCAAGGACCACCTTGACCTCACACCGTCTAACACAGTATAATGCCGTATGATAGTATACGTAACAGCATAACATAATATAACATATTACAGCACTCTACAACAAAATGTGTCACACGTATATAAGTACATATACTTTTCTATATCTACATACATACATACGTACATACATACATGCATACATAGATACATACATACACACACACACATACACACACACATACATACACGTACATACACATACATACATACATACATACATACATGCATAAATACAAACAAACAAACAAACATACATACATACATACATACATACATACATACATGTTGCGT